TGTGAATTTACACCAATAATAGATGTAAATATTACAAGTTTAATTCGAAACATTTAAAATTTAATGAAAAATTACAAAATTGCTGTATTTATACAAAATTTTTTCAATTTCACATGAAATGTGTAAGTTTGTCCTATATTGTGTAAATACATTCTATTTTTTATGGAAAATTATGTAAGAAATGAAATATTTTACTTATCTTGTATAATTAATCCAATTTTTGTAATATTATGTAGTTCAATGGTAATATTTCATATATCGCTATGAAATATAGAGCGATCATACGCGTTTTTGTTATTTTATATGTAACTTTACAAGATTTGTATTAATACACCCAAAAAATGAGTAAACTTGTCTTTTATTGTGTGAATATATTTTTTTTTTCGTGAAAAATTACGTAAGTAATGCAATATTTTATATATTTTATGTAATTAAAAGAGCGTAGAAATGACCAATCTCCGTTTCTTTTTCTTCAATATATCACAGCATTGGATAGAAAGTGATAGGTATTAGCCGTTTTCGCATTCTATCCTTTTAATTTTTGTCGATTACTTTTACATGTAGAAAGTACGTATGTATAATTCATGCTTTATGTCAATGCGCCATCTCGAAGCGCCATCGATTATAAGAACCGAAGAGTCTTGTAAAGATCACGAGCGAGTTTCGTGTCGACAAATTTTCGGGAGTTGCTAACGCCCAACCTTTGTGTCAGAGAACAGTTGAAGAACGTTTTTCTCAACTGAGAAAATGTTTTTTTACGGCTCAGGTTTGTTATATTATAACTTTAAATATCATAAGAGGTTATGACGTTTTATATCATAAAAGAGATTTATAATATTTTAATATTATAATTTCTTTTATGATATAAAACGTCATAATGGTATGATTATATGATTATTTTATTAATATTTTATGTGGTTTAATACATATGCAGTAAAATGATATACAAAAAATATTCCAGGAAACAGCTGGCAGATCTGCCACAATTTCAAAAGAGGTTGCTGCTTCAGTATTTATTGCACATTTGTACATAAGTACAAATATTGCTATAATTATTAAAACACCACGTGCAGCAGGGAGATGTACGTGTCCATTCATCCACGTGACAAGTGTCGAGCAGGCCAGATACGAAGCTACAGAGAAAGCTACTGAATACCTAAAGCAAGAGGTTGGCCGGACCCTCCAGAATACAAATATTTGTAAAGAATTTAAGAATGACAATTGCAATAGGGAAAATTGTAATTTGCGACATGCAAATTTAAATAGGTCGTTAGAGTGTCCAATATGTTGTGAAGAGGTGGCAAAAGATACTTTTGGCACATGTACCTGCGGACACATGATATGCGGGTGACCTCCTTTTGGACACGTAACGATTCGACACCGCTTGATTAGACACGCACTATTGGACACGTAACTATTTAACACCGCATGATTCGACACCGCACAATTCGACGCGAACATTGCACGATTCGACACCGCACGATTCGGCACCGCACGATTCGACACCGCACTTTTCGACACGCACGATTCGACACCGCACTTTTCGACATGCACGATTCGACACAGCACGATTTGACACCGCACGATTCGACACGCACAATTCGACACCGCACGATGCGACACGCTCGATTCGACACCGCACGATTCGACACCGCACGATTCGACACGCACAATTCGACACCGCACGATTCGACACCCTCGATTCGACACCGCACGATTCGACACGCTCGATTCGACACCGCATGATTAGAAAGTTACACGACAGTTTCCCGAAAAAGTAGAGGGGATAACGTTGGTACTAACGAAAATCCCTAAGCAACACAATTTAATTTTTGTAGATTAGTAGCACCGCGTAAGTAGTAATCTGTTAAGTTAGAGAAAGCCTTTTTTAAAATATACGCGCACGAATACAAAATAATCAAACCTTTTTGACACATGCATGATAATGAAAGGACAGTATTTGTTATTTTGTTTTAAAACTTCTATGTAATCTGCGGTATTTCTATTTTCCATTATATATTATTTTAGCCGTCGCTCGTTATTCATTAAAAAGTTATTAACAAAAAAAAGTTTGGAAAATATAGCAGCTATTTTGAGTATTGGAAGGCATAAATAACTAATATATATATATATATATATATATATATATATATATATATGTCGAAATAATTCACGCATACACTTTCCACGCAAAAAAAGGTGCCACATGGGTTCATGACGCGCTTTATAAGCTCGTTTAAGTACATGCGTGAAATTTATCCTCTGACTATCCTGACTATATTAAATTGTAGATATTATGCATACATAACACACACACACACACACACGGGGGGGGTGCGAGGGGGGCCTTCGGCCCCCCCTTCCTCGCACCCACCCCGCCGGTAGGCAGCGTGGAACTCGCTTTACAACTTAAAGTACATGCTAAGTTGTAAAGCGAAATTGTATTGCGCGCCTCTTCCTCGAGATCATATGGTAGTAGCCCTTACTATGTACCGATGTACCACAGTTTTAAAGTTCTAAAACTTTCCGCTAGGGTTAGCTTCCCGTTCCGTTGGTCATTCTTTTACTTTGTGCCGATTAAGCCACACGCGTGTTTACGAGATTCCGAAGTAAATAGAAGTAAGGGATGTTAGAGACGATTTCTCGAGTTCGGAAGACGGCGAGGAGGTACAGAAAGGAAACGATAGCGACGGTGAGGTAGCGTTCGTCGTTCTCATATGTGTACGGTGTCACTTACATATGTCACATATGTGAGTGAAATCGGTGAGGAGGGAGCTCTCCTTCAGATTTACCCATATGTGTACAGTGCGAGGTTATGTGCCGAGTGACGACGAACGACAGCTACACGAAGCCGGAGACCGTCGTCGTCGTGACAATGGTTGACGCTGCACTTCCACGGCGTTTCCGCACGGTTCGCGGGAAACAGGTGAAGTGAAGGGAAGCGCGTCGTTGTTGCGAGTAATCGCGAGCACCGCGCGCGAGGCATTTTCTCGTCGTCGCTGTCGTCGCTGTGTCGTGATCATCACGGCCATCACGGTCGTGCTCGTGGCTCATCGTCGTCATCCTCGGTGCCAAAGAGGCACCTGACGGTTAGACGAAAGTAACCGAGCGAGACGCAGCAGCAAGATATAAAGGTGTCGTCTATATCGACTATATGTCAACGCAGTAATGCGTAAAGGTTTCAGGTGTTTTGGTCCAACTAACTCACCTTGAGAATGCAAATTGAGAAACTTCAATTGTGCATAACCTCATTGCGGAATGTCCTACGATAGCCTAACCATCGGGCGGTAGTGACTTCAAAAAAGTAAGACGCATAGGCGAGATTCAGGTGTCTTGGTCCAACCAATTCGCCTTGAGAATGCAAATTGAAAAATTTTAATTGTGCACATAACCTCGCTGCGTAACGTCTTTCCAGCTAGCAAGTTGGGTCGGGGCGGTAGTGACCTTAAAATGGTAAAATGCATAGGCGAGATTCAGGTGTTTTGGTCCAACCAATTCGCTTTGAAAATGCAAATTAAAAATTTTAATTGTGCACATAACCTCGCCACGTAACGTCCTTCCAACCATCAAGCCCGTTCGGAGCGACTTAAAAAAAAAGGTAAGATGCATAGACAAGATTCAGGCGTCTTGGTCCAACCAATTCGACTTGAAAATGCAAATTGAATTTCAATTGTGCACAAAACCTCGCCGCGTAACGTCCTCCCAGCTATCAAGCCTGTTCGGGACTGTACTGACTGTAGCGACTTTAAAAAAGGGATTTAGTCTTGGTCTAACCAATTCGACTTGAGAAGGCAAATTGAGAAATTTTAATTGTGCACATATAATACGCACTAGCTGGTTACCCGGGCTTCGCCCCGGAGGACATGTGTAATAAGACACGCAAATAGTCTCTCTCTCTCCCTTCCCTCTATTTCCCCATCCCTCTCCCTTTCCCTCCCCCTCTTTCTCTCTCTCTCTCTCTAAAATGCTATAAATTGAAAAATATTACTTTTTTATCTACTTCTGATACCGGTTTCCAAAATGATCGGTAACAAAAAATTATATACTTTATTATAGCACTCCCCAAGAAATTCAACACCTACTTTATGTACAATTCTTTGAGATTCAGTCATTCGGAACCTGTTTCCAAAAAGATCGGTAACAAAAAATAGTAACACTTTATAGCACTCCCCGGAAAATTATACTCCTACTTCATATATATTTCTTGGAGATTCAATCAATTATTTCCCAAAAAATTAGAAAAATTAAAAAAACCGGTTTCCAAAAAATCGGTAACAAAAAACTATACACTCCCCGGGAAATTCAACCCCTATTTCATATACTTTTGTTGCGGCCCCAATTAAAATGTAATAATAAAAATAAGAATAATATTAAGAAAGACCGAGAATAACAATAGGGAACGCGACCGCGAAAGCCCGAGAGAATTACGCAACGCCGAATCAGCAAAAAATGAGTTGCGCGATCGGCCCAGATACGATCGAGCAACTCAGCGATATCGAAGGACAAGACGAGGATTGAAAAGGAAGCGACAACAGGAGACGAGAGGGCAATTGGAGTCTCGAAGCGACGGGCGTTTAACGCGAATAATCATTGTAACCCAAAGTGAATTAATTAAAGTTATCATTTATTGAGAAGTGTTGTTAATAAATCCCGCCTCCTCCGTGGATAAACGATCCCTGGTGTCCCGCCGTAAAAATGGTGGCAGCGTGAGGGATCCTGTGGCAGGAAGACGGGAACGGCAGCTAAAACAGAAAAAGAAGTGAATCAGTGAGGCAGTGCAACATCCTCAACGGAGACACAGGCAGCCAGATTCAAAAACAGCGGACAACACGGTAGCGGCCGACGAGGGACAAGCGAGCAGCGTAACCCGAGAAGGCGCCGACCTACCTCAACGGAGGCTCACCGACAGATAAGGCGGCACGAGCACCCACCAGCAACATGCGACTAGCGACCGTAATGTAAGTCGATTAAGCAAAGTATGTAAAGCGCAATCACCGTAAATGTCGGAAAACGAAAATCCACCTGCGGAACTAAACCAATCGTGGCTCCATAGCGAGACGTCACGACGAGCGCGTAGAAATAGACCGTTAAGCCCCGTGCAAACGACCGAAGAAGGCGTAAACGATAATCGCGAAACCGTGCGTAGAAATTTAGACGCGTACTACTCAAGCGAAAGCGAATCAGAATCGGAATTACACCCGAACAGCGTAATCGAACGCGAACAAATCGACGATTCCGTTATAATTTTAGACGCGAGAGTAATAGGACAAAATAACTGCCCCGACGAAAATAGACTCCACCCCTCACACGCGCACGCACAATCCGAAGACGCGAACAGTACGACCAGTAGGCGAACACACAGACGAGAGTTCTCATTGACTTCGTATGATAGCAGCGTATTTGACCCGCAAGAATATTATTCTGCCCCGAGACACGTGAACATAATCGAGATGGCGGAAGCAACAAATAGCAACCACGACGCGAATAACGTAAATGACAACGCGCCGATAACCCCAGAGGAAATAGACGAAGAAATAAACCGTCTTAATCAAGTGCTATCACAAAGAGGCACCCCGGCGAATCACCGTAACCGGATACCCGCACGGGCCGAACCGCCGCGAGACGATAGAGATTCCATTCTCGACGAGATATTAAATGGAATCCGCAACTTACAAGATCGCGTAAATCAACTAGAAACGGCGAATCTTGAACGCCGCGAATTTCACGCGAGACGCAAGCCAAGTAACCTCCCGTTTGAAGTAACGTACGGAAGAACGTCATATGATATTCGGAACCAAGCGGAGCGCGCAATCGGATATCTACGTTTAAAAGAGGCACGAGACATGATACCTGAGTTCGACGGAACCTCGAGTAAATTACAAGAATTCTTAAACGCCGCGTCATATGCAATGAAAAACATAAATCCTATGGAGGAAGGAACGCTATTAGAAGCAGTGCTATGCACAAAGCTAAAAGGAAGAGCGATGATAGACTTTCAAACGCGAGAGATAAGAGATTTCGCACAACTAAAGAAGGAATTAGAAGTTTGCTATTTGAGCCGCAAAAGCACAACACACTTACAACTAGAGTTTAATACACTCAAGCAAAAACCCGGAGAAAATGCAAGAGCATTCGGATTAAGAGCCGATAAGCTAGCGATGGAGCTATACGACTCCATGATAGAGGGAAGAAATCACACCATAGAAAGCAAGCGAACTATATTAGAAATGATTCAACAACAGGCATTACAGAATTTCCAATTAGGATTGAGAGACGAGATCAAGTTACTTGTCCGAGCTCAGCATTTCGCAACATTGCAAGAAGCGATTGCCGGAGCGAGCGCCGAAGAAAAAGTAAACGGGCCGAGTGGAATTCCGCCGCGTCCCAAAAATAATTATGCGTACTTGCCGCAACCGCGCGATAACCGATCGACGTTACAATGCCAAAAATGCGGAAAATACGGGCACCTCGGAAGGGAATGTCGTACCAATAGATATGCGAACCGTTTCTCCTTACCAAAACCCGATAGAACACCCCGCGTAAACGCGATAGATAAAGTCTGCAATTACTGCAAGAAGGCAGGACACATGCGCGAAGAATGTTGGTTGTTAATTGGTCGACCAAATAAAGAAAGGACGAACCACAACAAACCTAATAATCCGCGAGGACAAAATAAAAATTTTCCCCCGAAAACGAATGGCCCGAGAAAAAAGGACAGTAATTCAGCCGCGAATAGCGATGAGGAAGATAAAGAGGACACAAAGCAGCGCCGACCGGCGTTAGAGTATCAGGTGTCACACCTGACGAACAAGCCGCGAAAGCATGCAGGGCTGGACTTAATCACTCTGCCCATGCGAGAAGCGAAGCGCGAAAAAATAAATTTACTGTTCGATACCGGAGCGGCCGTATCAATAATAAAAGTAAAACATTTGAAAGGCGAAACAATGATAAAAGAGGATAAAATGGCCCTTACAGGAGTAACAGGTCACAAAGCCCATACAATTGGAAAATTTGCAGCAACTATTGACTTGAAAGATAGAAAGATCAAGCACACGATATATGTCGTCAAAGATGATTTTCCGATAGAATACGACGGAATACTAGGCGTAGATTTTATAAAGAAACATCGAGCGTCATATAGTTACGAGTCGAGCGCAATACGCATAGGGAATAGCACATTAAAATTATATCCGTATAAGAAAATGGTTTTGAAACCGCGAAGCGAGACAATAGTGCAAGTCGCGACCGATAAAAATTCACTAGGAATAATACAGGCAGAAGAGACAATACCAGGAGTGTTCATAGGAAATTGCCTAGTGATGCCAGAAAACTTTCTATGTCCGGCAAGCATACTAAATACGACGGAGAAGACAGTCGAAATGCTAATGCCGCAAGTAACATTAGAAGAGTTAGAGCAAGAAGAAGCAAAAAAGATAGAAATAAACCAAGTAGACAAGGCAGAAGAAACAATGCCGCGTAGCGAAAAAGTCGAAAAATTGATACGCACACAACACTTAAACGAAGAAGAAAAGAAAACCATTATGGAAATTTGCAGAGATTACAGCGATGTATTGCATGTGGAAGGAGAACCACTGACATGCACTGATATCGTCGCGCATAAGATTACCACGAAGGCGGGCAGCGTACCGGTCAACGTCCGACCGTACCGTTTGCCAGAAAAGCACAAGGAAGAAGTGAATAGACAAGTGAAAGAGATGTTGAAAAACGGAATTATTAGACATAGCACGAGCCCGTGGAATGCGCCGTTGCTAGTAGTACCGAAGAAAAGAGACGCATCAGGAAAATTAAAACTGAGAGTGGTAATAGATTTTCGGTTTGTGAACGACCTAACGGAGGGAGATTCCTTCCAATTGCCAAACATAACCGATATCCTAGACCAACTGGGAAAAGCAAAATATTTTACCACGCTAGACCTCGCCTCGGGATATCATCAAATCCCGATGGAAGAAGAAGATAAAGAAAAAACAGCGTTCTCGACACAATACGGACATTACGAGTATAATCAAATGCCTTTTGGACTGAAAAATGCCCCAGCGACATTTCAACGAGCAATAATAGCCGTTTTAGCAGGACTAGTAGGATTACAATGCTTAGTCTATCTAGACGATATAATAGTATACGGAGCAAGTTTACAAGAGCACAATAAGAGATTAATTGAAGTGCTAAAAAGACTGAGAAAATATAATTTGAAATTACAGCCCGATAAATGCGAATTCCTTCGGAAAGAAGTGACGTATCTCGGACATGTAATAACAGAAAACGGAATCTCGCCAGACCCTACAAAATTAGAAGCAGTAAAAAGCTTCCCGAGACCAACAAAAGTAAAGAACATCCAGGCTTTCGTAGGATTAGCCGGATATTATAAAAGATTTATTAAAGATTTTTCAGCAATCGCCAAGCCACTCACAAAAATGACCAGAAAAGATATCAAATTCGAGTGGAACGCAGAACAACAAAACGCATTTGAAATACTTAAAGAAAAACTAACCACAGCACCGGTATTAAAATACCCGGACTTCTCCCAAGAATTTGTAGTAACGACCGACGCGTCAGATTACGCAATAGGAGCCATACTGTCACAGGGAAAGATAGGTCAAGATCAACCCGTGGCGTATGCGAGCAGAGTACTATCTAAAGCCGAGCAAAATTACAATACTACCGAGAAAGAATTACTAGCGATAGTATGGGCGGTGAAACACTTCCGACCATACGTTTATGGAACAAAATTTATCATCGTGACAGACCATAAATCATTGGTTTGGCTATTTAACGTAAAGGACCCCGGATCACGATTAATCCGATGGAGATTGAAATTAGAAGAATACGATTACACTATCGTACACAAGGCCGGTCAAGAGAATAGAAACGCGGATGCGCTGAGTCGACATGTGCCGACAGATATCAACAAGATAGAGAAAAAAGAGAATAACGAAGAGGAGAGCGAAAGAAAATACACAGAAGAAGAGAAGCAACGTATATTATACGAATACCATGATGCACCTGTAGGAGGACATCAGGGTGTGGAACGCACCATAAACCGAATAAGGTTGACGCATAATTGGAGAGGATTAACTCGAGACGTCGAAGACTACATTAATAAATGCGAACTATGTCAGAAGAACAAGTTATCGCGAAAAAATAAAGCACCCTTAGTAATAACAGACACCGCGGACAAACCGTTCGAAAAATGTGCTCTAGATATAGTAGGACCACTGACGGTGACCGAAAACGGAAATAAATATATCCTCACGTTTCAGGATAATTTATCAAAATTCAGTAAGGTGATACCCGTACCTAATCAAGAACCGAATACAATCGCGAAAGAATTCGTCACAAAGATTATCTTTGAATACGGTATCCCCGACAAAATACTGACGGATAGAGGAACGAATTTCCTTAGCGAAATATTTAAAAGCACGTGTAAATTACTGAAGATAGAAAAAATTCAAACAACGGCCTACCATCCCGAGAGTAATGGAGCATTGGAACGCTCTCATAGAACATTAGCCGAATATTTGCGACATTATATTAACGCGGACCAGACAGACTGGGACGAATGGACGCCATACGCAATGTTCGCGTATAACACGACGCCACACACAGCGACCGGGTTTACACCCTTCGAATTAGTATACGGGCACCGAGCGACACTACCGACGGCACTGTCGCAACCACCGAAACCAACGTATACTTATGACAATTACGCGCAAGAGCTAAAAGAAAAATTAAGAGCGACACAACGAGTTGCAAAAGAACATTTGCGAAACGAAAAATCTAAGGCCAAGGAGACGTATGATAAGAAGACAAAAGAAATCAATTTCCAAGTGGGAGACAAAGTTCTCTTGCACGACGAAACGGTGCGTAGAAGATCGAAAAAATTAGAATCCCCGTGGATAGGACCGTACGAAGTAATTGAAAAACACTCAGACGTAAATTATACGATCAAAAAGGGACGGAAAACCACGCGAGTACACGTAAACCGATTAAAGCCCTTTATAGAACAGTAAAAACAGCGTAGAAGAACAAAAACAAGCAATAGGAAGTAGGCAATAGAAAATAGGCGATAGTAAAAACTAACGAAAATTAGACAATAAGTGCTTACCGAACATCAAACACGTCGCACCACACGACGTCCGGTGGCCACATCCAAGGTGACCTCCAGGGGGTGGAGAAGATGCACCCAGGTGTCCGGGGGCGTTAGCAACGCTTCTGCGTAGGTGGGAGGGGGCGACGTCGGCCCCGAACCCAAATTTGCCGCAATCCGCGCACTAAGCGCGGCACCCTCACTTACGGCACCCGCACGAGCAGCGCGGAGCCAATACGTGCGCCAACATGCGTCGCACGTCGTCGGGACAAAAAAAAACGGTTACACAGACGGCACCTCATTTCACAATTAGCGCAAACGAAAAGTACTCTCTCTGAATCACGTCGCAAGAGCAACTAAACGCGCGAGGAGAGAAAAAACGCGAGGAGAAGGCACTATCAAACCAAGGTAAAAATTCGAAGAAAGGTAACATGAGTCCTTATTGAGAGAACCGGACAATTGCAACAGGTAGAAGCTACTTGGAAACTAGCGATTAAAATCGACGTAGCAACCCTAGGAAACCGATATCACCAACTTCAGAAATTTCTACAGCAAGCCGAAAAAGTATGCGACACGATAATCGCAAAGGACACGCAGCAGACGTGCAAAAACATTCTCCATATAATAGAGAAAAATAACAAAAAATTAACGCAATTATTAACGCGATTACAAACTATATATAAAACAACTAATAATAAGCGAGGGTTAATAGACGCGATCGGCACAATCAGCAAAACGCTGTTCGGCACTATGGATGCCGACGATGCAAAACACATACAGGAGCAGCTTGAACTGATGCAAAATCAGCAACAGACTCTACGGCACACCGCAAAAAGCCAATTAAAGGTGATAAATGCCACGATAGGCCACATGGAGGCCTTAGAAAAATCGTTATACCACAACGAACAACTGATGGCGAACGTCACGAGACGGATACAGCTGGAAACAGCACTGTAGGGAGCGTCCCAGTTGCGCACAGAATAAATCGGACACAGCAGGTTGAATGAAT